TCCATGTTAACATCTGTTTAAGATCTGTTCAAAGTATTGGGGGAAAAAAACTGGGGTAAAGTTTCAGCATCCTTCCTCTTTCAGATAAATTGTGAGCTCGCAGTTAACATCCTAATTTACACCTAAAATACTCTGGAAAGACAAGAGGTTAAAAAAGAGACTTGAAACTCTTGTGATAAAATGCAAGGACAAGGAGAAGGTTGCAGGCCCTTGGCATCCATCAGGGAAGGAAAAGAAAGGTCCAACATCAAGCTGGGAAGCAGCTCGGTGAGCTGTGCAGCGCACACTGAAGGGTTGTGCCCAGCCACAGTTGCAGGCTGGTTGAAGATTAATCTAGTTAGTGACCCAAAGGAAAACACTGAAACAATATGATCAGCTCAGCAGTTCTAAAATAATTTTGGTCTCTATTATGTCATCCTCTTTAAATACCAATTGTTTGCTGCCGGTCCTGTTGCCCGTCAGCGCTGTTATAAAGAACTATTTGCCAGTTGTTCTTTCCTGTCCTCTGAGCAATAACTTCCTCTCTTTGCTTTTCTTCTACCTGAGAGCCGGACATCTGTCTTCCTCCTTGTTACACCAGACATGCTCAGAGCTCTTCAGTTCCCTGTGCTCAGCTGAAATCCATGCTGTGTGAGCTGGGTTCTTCCTTTTCTCCCGTCAGCTCGACAAAGCCGCTGCAGCCCTGGGCAGCCCAGATGTGCGGATGAGCTGGGAATAGACAGCTGTGGCTGAGAGCATCCCTGGGAACTGAACTCTGAGAACTTGGTGAATGTAGATGCTATTAAGAAAACATTAGTTCCCAAAGTGGGTTAAAAAAGTTATTTATTTACCTGTGAAGTGGGAAGTGAAATCTCCCTTATTTGTGCATCTCAAGTATTTGATAAAATGCCAGTAGCTGCTGGAGGATGTTCCTCTGGGCAAGTCATCCTGCTGTGTTAATCAGTGGTAGAAGATCATTGATTTATAAACCATGGGAACCAATTGTGGTTGTAGCTCTGGGAATAAGTATTTTGAGGAAATTGTTAAAAAGGCATGGCTTACAAAGTGATGCTTTTGCCACTCAAAATGGCAGGTTTTCAATGGCAAAAAAAACCCCAAAACACACTTGAGCTCTGCCAGCTTTGCAAGATGCTCACTGTTGGTTTGTGTTTTTTCCCTTCACACTGAAGATCTTTTGAAAGTGCTTGAAAAGCTTTTGCATTTTGCACTTCAGTTTGCAGTGTTTGGGGTGACCGTAGCTTAAGCAAGCTTTGCTTTGGAGAAGCATTTAGCCAGAGCTGCCTTGTTCGTGCCTTCACAGGAGGACTGATCCAGAGGATCAGCCTCGCTGCTGGAGAAAGAAACGTTTCACATCACACACTGAATCCCCGCCACTGAAGTGGAACACACGTGGCACAACCGTGCTCAGCCCTGCGTGTACTTGCCTGGCTACAAAAGGCATCTGTGTCGGCTTGTTCAGAATTAGACTAAAACTTTTTCATGCCCATTTTTTTAGGGACTGCAAAAGTTTCAGGAATAATGATGAGATGCAGTTTGAAGCATCTGATTTTTGACTGTTTTATAGAGATAAATTTGAACATCTGCAAGTTTGGCTTTTTTTGGAAGCAGAGATGCCAAACAACCACTTGTATTGAAGCACAAAGTATCTCAAACTAAACACCCAGAGTCCCTTGAAGTGCTGACATATTTGTGCCCCTTGAGCAGAGCCCAGCAGCTACAAGGAGGGAAGATGCTGATGGGCAAGATCTGCGCTAGACCCCAGGTTTTGTGGTGAATGCCATTTCCCCTGCACTCTGCTCTGCAGCACGACTCAGTGCAGGGCCAGTTCAACAACAGGTTTGGGATTTACAGCTCACAAACACACCAGACAGAACATCTCCCAGTGCCCCATGGTGGCTGGCTTACGTAATGTCACTTGCATAACCCCAGCAAGTTCTGTCAGGGTCTCTCTCCGTGCTGAATTAAGGCTCTCTGGGGTTTTGTGTCACATTCACGCTCTGTTTGAAATTGCACTTTAGCTCATTGCAAATTCCCACTCCTTCTACGTGAAGTGTGTGACCATAGAGCCAGCGAGGCTACAAGGGTTGTCCCTTCAGCCTTGAGTTCCCATCACCTCGCAGTCAGAGAATCTGTGTCACTTCCAGCCCAATCTGCTGGATTATTCACAGAATTTTTTTCCTCTAGCAGCCCAGATGGTTCAATCTCAAACCTTTACCAGGGGGGTGGTCTCTCTTCCGTGGGAGATGGTTGTTCCTTTTCTGGAGGGTCTATGAGAAGCCAGTCTGAACTTGGGAGAACTGAGATCTTCCTGGCAAAGAACAGAGAGTGGCTGTTAGACACTGGGGAAGAAATGCCCCCCCTTTTTTTTTTCTTTTTTATTTTCCTCCAGATTTTTCTCTCCAGGGTGACTACTCTTAATTACTTCAAGGTAATTACTAAGGGATGAAATCCAAGCCCCTGCAGACTGTTTGGTCACCAGTCACTTCACTTTGGGCTGGGTTTTTCTCCCTCTTCAGTTCTGTAAGAGACTGAACAGATGCCCCGGAGAGCAATGGAGAAAGCAGAGGGGGGTGTTTGCTGGGCTTTTAAGTTGCACAACTCAAAGTTTTAGCGATGTTTGCAAGGAGACTTAAAAGCCTCAGGATCTTTAAAACTCTTTTGCTGATAGTGGTATTCACGTTGCCAGAGGGACACCGAGGGCAGGATTCATCCCACCCCAAAGCAGGTTGCTGAAACAGGACAGATGAGTCACATCCTAAAAGCCCCCGGTTTCCCCTCTGCTGTGAGGGGGACAGGACGGCTCAGCCCTGGGCACAGACAGCGCCGGGCACTGGAGAGAAGCCGCCAAACCTCGGTCACTTACAGGACAGTGGTTCCACAGATGAAAACGTGTCTGCTCCTCCAGTGGCTCGGGCTCCCCAGGCTGCTGCTGGCACCAGGTTTGGCACAATCAGCTTGTTTGTTGAGAAGGAAAAGTGCTGGAGTCTCAGGTTTTGGGACTCGGGTCTTTTCTCATTGAGGGGGAGACTGGTTCTGCCTGTGGGAAATGACCACGCTGACGATGAACATGCCTGGGAAATGGTAATGCTCAGCTGAGCCTTGCTGGACGAGGCGTGTGCTGTAACGATACTGCCCGTCACGGGGGGGTTCATCGAACCCCCGAGGGCAGCGGCGGAGCCATCCGGCAGATGCCGAGGGTTTGACCAGCCCAGTCGTTACCGCAGGACCCTCGTCACTCCCCGGCCAGGGGATTTGGTGGGAAGTGGCCAATGAGGGGCCAAGCTGACTCCAAATCCAGCTTCTTGCAAAGCCCCAGATAAACCAGACTTCCATTAATGAGGCGAGAAAGGTTAGGACGAGGAGCATTACAGCAGATCTGGAGAGGTAAGGTGATAGTTCTGTCTGAGGCTTGTAGAGCATATGGCCCCACTTCTGTGGGTAACCCAAGAGCTCGGTTAGTCTGTAAGTGGGGAATTATTTGCCTGGCTGCAGGAGGAGAGGTTTATTTGCTGATGTTAAAAAAAATGAGATAGCTGGAGACACTTGATAGCGTAATCAGGAAGGTCAGTAGAGATTTTCTGTGTCTTCATAGCTCGTGTGCTTATTCTGGGTGTTAAATAAATTTCTTGGGAGTGAAGCTTTGAAAAATCATCGTAATCTGCCAGCTAATTGTAGGTTCTGGGTTTTGAAATGGAGATTTGTGGTTCAGAAACTGTTGAGCTTTCCACTTACGGAGCTAGATTGTTACAGAGAACCCAGTTGTTTTGATGACTGCTCTTTCTTGCTGGTCCAATCCAGGTACAGAAATGGAAACAGAGCAATTAATTGCACTAACTTTTAGTTAAAATGAAGGAGATGTAAAAAAGTGAAGCTTGATAATGCAGAGCTGAACGTAAGATGCATCTGTCCTTTTTCACCTTAAGCTTGAGATCTAGTGCCACACAAAAATTGTGACGAGCCTTTTAAACTCTTTATGACAGCGTAGGCTGAAGCTTTTCCTAGACAGTGGTAATCTCTTCTGCAAACCACCTTACATCAATGTGACATGTCTTCATCTCCAGCCCTGCCCTCCCCTGCTGTTCTTCCCCTCTCCTTCCCATTCTCTGCTCCCCCCTGCTAAAAAAAAAAAAAGCAGCAGCTGTTGGGAAGTAGAGCCCGTTTGGTTTATGGTGCCGCTTTGGGAATATGATCCAGATCCTACGTGAGAGAGAGAGAAAGCAACAGAGAGAAAGAGAAGAGGAGGGAATTTGGAAGCTCTGGAAAATAACTCGCTTATTTTAAGTCCAGTATAGAAAGTTCAATCTTTACAGCAAGGTTTAGGGATAAAGCAGAACTGCTACTAAAGGTCTTACCTTGGGAATCAGGGAGCTTGCTGCTTTAATGTTAAGTAATTTTAGAGTTTGTCTGTTGTTTTGTACAAAATTTCAAGTGCACTGAAGTGTCTTTGTTTGTCCTCTAGTGAGAGGTGCCTGTAACGAGGGTATTAAGATCTGTAGACACATTATATAGTAACGATGTGATTCTTATTGGGGTTTATCTTTAATTTACTGTAGCACTTTTGGTTAAGAAACAGCGTTCTCTGTGGAAGGCACTTCTGTTCATTATTCCATCTCCTGATTTCAGCTGGTTCCAGGGCACAAAAGAGACGAAAGCAGAAGAAAATGCTAAAACTGGAGGCAGCCAGAACCATTCAGAGTTCTACACCTTGGGTTTCTGCCAAGCAATTAATGGAAACACAAACTATCTATTTTTGTTGTCAGGTCACAAAAATCCACTCCTGTCATCAGCTCCTCTCATTCCTAGAGGGAAACTCCTAGAAAATCTCAGAAATACCCAATTGCTGTTCTGTGAGAGGATACCGTACAGGTGGGATGCCGTACAGGTGGGATGCATCTCAGATGTAGGCAGTAGGAAGAGGTGATGCTTCAGGAAGCTGCTCAGCCCAGCTCTCCTGCTCTTTGGTCAGAATGTTCTTGCTCTCTCCTGGGGACACTGACTCGATGTCTGCTTCCTTCCCTCCGCAGCTATCCATGAAGGAGGTCGGAGACGGGCTGCACGAGCAGATGAACTGCATGATGGGTGCACTGCAAGAGCTGAAACTCCTCCAGGTCCAGACAGCTTTGGAGCAGTTGGACATCTCCGGGAGCCGGAGCACCATTCCTGGCACTGAGCAGCACCAGTGCTGCCAAAGCAGCAGAGACATGCCCGGGGCCCGGCAGGACGAGCGGCCACGGGGGGAGGCATCGGTGGGGGAGTACAGGCAGAGCCCCCTGGCATGTGCCGTGCCACGGCCGGTGGGTTTGTCCCGTTCTCCTGGGCTCCCCGAGGGCACCCACCTTAGAGACACCCCCTGCTCCTTCAGGAGCCTCTGTGGGGAGGATGTTTGTCATGCAAAAAGACCTTCCTCCACATCAACCAGAGCAGAGCCCGTCTGCCCAAGGACATTTGAGCCCATTAGCCAGGGCGCAGCTCGGGGGTGGCCGGCATGCCAGGAGTGCCCGGGCTGTGACGATGGCCATGACTGGACATCCTCCCTGATGTCCCAGAGCAGGAATCGGCAGCCGCTGGTTTTGGGGGATAATATCTTTGCAGACTTGGTTGGGAACTGGCTGGATCTGCCAGAGCTGGATAAGAAGGGGGAGAAAAGCGAGACATCCCTGTCCATGAGCAGATCCCAGGAGCTCTGCAGGAAGTTCTCCCTCACAGCCAACATCTTCAAGAAGTTCCTGAGGAGCGTTCGGCCAGACCGAGACAGGCTTCTCAAGGAGAAACCTTGCTGGCTTCCACCTGAAGACAAACAGCCCGAAATTTCTAAGAGACCCAAAAAGATGAGCAAACTCAAGGGGACATTTTACTTCCCACTTCATGGGAACATCCAGAACCATCACAGCAAAGCAGAGAGGTGCCCAAAGGCAGAAAGCAATAGCGAGAAACCCAAAATTGGCACCAAGAAAGTCCACAATACCATAGACTACACCCAGTCTGGGTTTGACATCAATACAGCTGTTTGGGTCTGAGTTTGTCAGTGTTCTCTGTTCTACCAAGGATTCATTTCACACCAGAGAGGAGCTGGAGGCCGTACACGTCTTTCCAGGAGACCCCTGAGCTCTCAACGTGGACTGAGATGAGAGTTGTCCTCTGCAAAACGTGCTGTGGGCTTCAGTCACCTGCACGTGCTGTTTTCTGGAGAACTACAGCTTCAGGGGCAGCCCGAGCAGTGGCTGATGCAGCCCCGAGTGGGGAGACTTTTGGGGACTGTTATTTGCAAAAATAATCCGAATCTTTAGCAGCTTTAGGGTGAGTGGTGCCAACAGATGAGCAGCTCCTAGAGTCTGGCTTCCAACAGCCACTTCAGGCCCATTCCATCATCTCTGGTTAAAACAGCTGCAGCACAAAATTCCCCGTGTGCATGTGTGTGTACGAGTGTGCAAATATATAGAGAGGTTTGGGTTTTTTTAACAAGAAAAAGTTATTCCTGCTTGTGTGCACTTCACCCTGGGTTCTAAACCAGGAGATTCAAACGTTGCACCTGAAGCACTTGTTATTTAAATTGAAAGCAGTTTGAATTTGTAGGACTTGGAACAATTGCTAAGCAGGGGGGTTGAACCCCAGCTTCGCTGCATTTCAGCTCTGGGGTTTTCCCCCTAAACCGCATCTCTGCCACGCTCCCAGCAGCTCTCCTTCCCACACCAGCTAAACCAGTAGGACACAAGCTCCTTTCATGGGATTTTGTGGCCCTCAAGCATCTCTCCTCGTGCCCTCCTCCTCACAGGTCACACCAGAGTGTTGTTGTGAGAGTTTATTGTTGATTTCACGCCGAGTTACAAAGCTGCCGCAGATGTTTGTTGTTGTTTCCTGTGGCTTTTGTGTACAAACCTCCTCTTGAAAGAACCAAGTTCTTCACTGTCCAGCTCTCCAAGAGTTACCAATAAAGTGGGATCAGTCTCCAGTGTGCAGTGGGGCTGTCTCCATCCCGGGGTGACCCTTGGTGCTGCTTTTCCCCAGCGCAGAAGCTCCTGGGTGTTCACTGTCAGGAAACTCGGCCAAGCAGGCACAGAGGGCTCAGCTGTGGGCTCGGAGCCAGGCGCACGTGTGGGTCGTGCCAGCCTGTTCCCAGCCAGGACCAGGCAGCCTGAGGAGCAGCCCGGAGAGTTTCCATTCAGGGAGAGGTTATAAATCACAGCGGGGGCTGGGAGCCAGGAGCACGTGTGGGTCGTGCCAGCCTGTTCCCAGCCAGGACCAGGCAGCCTGAGGAGCAGCCCGGAGAGTTTCCATTCAGGGAGAGGTTATAAATCACAGCAGGGAGAGGAGCTGTAGCCAGAGTCCCTGCCAGGGTCCCAGCACCGCTCTGGGGACACGTCCCACGGCAGCCCATGCACATCTTCCAACGTCCACCTTCCTCCTCCAGCTCGGGGAAAGGCAAAGGGAGGGATGTTTGAGGGAGAAGCTGCTGTGGAGCCCTGCAGCCCCTGGATAGTGGAGGGGGACCGGCCACCTCATCCCAGGGCCATGCTGGTCCTGCTGTGTGTCCCCTCCTTGCTTTCTCCAGGAGTTAAACGTGACCAAGGTGAGTCCCCAGCAGCTCCGTGGGCCCCAGCGTGACGGTGGCACAGAGCCCATCGATGGCAGAGGGGGAGCTGCCCCCCGTTTCCATCACCCAGGGGTCCCAGATGATTGTGTGCAGAGCCGTCTTATGTTGCAAAAACCTGTTCCCCTCACTCCAAGGGTCGGAAGGGCTCATGTGCCAGCAGCAGTATTATTTTTTTTAAACATGCAATTCTATTCCTGTTGGAACTTCCCAGGACAGCCAGGCCAGTGGAGCACAGGCATGGAGGGAGACTGTTGGTTTTTTTTCCCCTTGCAAATTAAATATAGGCACACGCCGAGCCCCGTTTGTGCCCATACAAGGAGAGGAGTGGGGCAGCGTCTGAAAGCCACACTCAGCACTTTTTCAGGAACCTGAGTTGCAAACAAGCTTTTGTTTTTCCTCCTCAAAAGCTTTAAGTCTGGTTGTTTTCCCCCCTTCTTCATTTCTCTGAACACCAAAAGGCTGTTTCTAAAGCATTTTGTTTTCCTCCTCTTTTATCAGGAGTTCATCCTGTTTGTTACAGATACACCCCCCCCAGCTCCCACCAACCTTTCCATCGGGTCAGCAAAGAGGAGAAAGAGCTTTCTAGAAGCAGCAGCACAACAGCTTTTCCTGCACCAGCCTCCCTCCCTGGAGATCACAGCCTCACCCCAGGGCTTCCCCACTGCCCAGGCACAACCCGAGGGGCTCAGCCCACAGCTGGGCTGGCACAGCAGTGGGGTGAACGATGACACTGTCCTATGACACCCCCATCCCCACGTCCCAGCTGTACCTGCTGGCATGGAAGACTGAGCCCCACGGAGAGAGGAGCATGGTGCTGGATGGGGAGAGGCTCCGCGGAGGTGAGCACCCACACCAGGGGCTTTTAAATCCCATCACTGAGCATTGCCCTCAGCTGTGATGAGTGTGGTGGGCAGCAGGTGAGGGCCAGGCTGAGCAGGGCAGGGGCAGGGACACGGCCATGGCCACAGTGACACTTCATCCGAGAGGTGAAGGGTACAGGTCTGCAGGTGGTTCCCTCTCCAAGGCCGTGTATTACGCAGGAAACAGGATGTGTTTGTGCAGGACACGGGGAGATCTGGAGTCCAGGATGCACTTTGGGAACCCACTCCGTGGGAAAAGCAGCTCTCAGGGATTTGCCCCTGTTTCCCCCCGCCCAGCCCACACCTCCAGCGCCTGCAGAGCCTGTGTGACCCAGGGCTTTATAAACCCAAACCCGTCTTGCCAGCACTCGTGGTCCCTTGGAACTGCTGGGCCCCCCCAGCAGCTGCCGCGGTGCTGCTTCCCCATCATCGGGGTCTCAGGAGGAGCTGACGGGCAGTTTCTCTTGAGAACGAGCCCTTCTGGCCCCACATGCTCCCACCTCCCACCGAGTCATCCTGCCCGCGCCCGCTCGCCCCAGAGCTGCCCGCAGATCAGCTGCTGCACCCAGCCTCTGCTCTCCCTGCTGCGAGGAAACCCCATTGTTCCTGGTTTCAGTGGAAAGGGCAGCGCTTGGCCCAGCTGCCGCCCACGTGTTCCTTTCCCACTCAAAATAATTGCTCCTGCCACAGCCAGCGCTGCCGAGCCCATCCCCATCCCATCCCCATCCCACCCGCATCCCCGGGAGCTGGTGGGGTCAGAGCCCGTGCGGGGTCCCTGCACCCCCTGGCACCCACCGCTCCTCCCTCTGCTTCCACCTGCAGTGTCCGACCAGAGGAGGGTTCAGCTTTGGGGACCAGGACAGATGCTGGCCCGAGGAGAGGTGGTGGCATTCATTTAATTTCTTCATTTTCTGGAGGAACAGATCCCTGCAGGGCCCTCAGCACAGACAGCCGAGCAAACGCCCAACAGTTTCAACTGGATTTACATTCTCTCTGCCTCTGAAGTGTATGTTCAGAGGATGTTTCCATTGAAATCGGATTTTCCAGGTGTTTGCAGTGACAAATTCAGTGTGACCTCGGCTTCAAACAGCCACTTGAAAATTGCAAGTGAATGTAGCTGGATCTCAAAGTTCTTAAGAGAAAAAAATATTTAGTAAATATTCTTTAAGAGGCATTCAGCTAATAAAGAATATCAGCCAAGCCAGACATCCTACCTAATTTAGCCTCCAGAGCAGGATCTGCTAATAGCTCAGGGTAGGGTTTGTCAATTACCATTTCACTTCTCCAGGGACTTCTCCTGAAATTATAATGCCTTTTTCTCCTCTTTTTTTTTTTTTTTTTCCAGAAAATGCCATTTTCTCCTCTTTTTTTTTTTTTTTTTTCCATGAAACTGCCATGAAATAGTTCCCCGTTATTAAGTATGAAACCTACCTAATTAGCACAATGACAGTCTGTAACGAGGCCCTGGCTGTGTTCTGCATCTTTGATAGGAGTGGTTAGTACCAAACACGGGACAATCATTATAGAAACATGTTCCCTCGTGAACTCGCCCGTGGAAGGCAGCGGCAGCGGCAGATGAAGCTTGGACACTCGGATTTATTAATCTCTGTTCCCGGGGTGTGCTCAGCCCAGATGGGATCAAATGCACTGTGGTTAATTTGACGCCAATAACATTCATTCAAACCCTGGGGAGAGGAGCTGCGCCTCACTGTATCCCTGCTCTTTGCAGCCACAGGACCCCAGAGAGGGGTTGTGAGAGGCTGGAAACCTCCATCCAGCGCGGGCAGGCAGAGCTGGGGGAGCTCAGAGGGGAAGATGCTCCTGTTCTAGGTGCTTCCCCCACCCAAAACCCACCTGACCCACCAGCACCACATCTCTGCCACCCCCCAGCCGATCTGGCACCGCTGCAATGGGTCGGTGCTGGCTCTGCCCCATACGGCTTAACACACAGAGAGGATTTGGCTCTTTCCATTAACAGAGGGCTTTTCCAGGAGCTGCTCCCGACTCTGCCTCCCTGGGCTGTCCCTTCCCCGCCAGCACCCGCGCTGACACCCGGCTCTTCCAGCCAGATGGTCTCCAGAAGGCTCTCAAATGTGCCTGTAATTAAAAAGCCTTTATTTTCAAAACCATTTCACAGCTTATTCTTCTGACAGTGGGATGGGGTTTCTTAGGCTAATGCTGGGCGAGAGGAAAGGAAAATCCAGGCCGGCTGCTGCCCGTTCCCGGTGACCCCGGTTCTACTCACCACCCACCCGCTGAGGCTGAGGAACCCACACCCTCCCCAGGACCAGCGCTCGCCTTCCCTGAGGATCCTCAGCTCTGTCCCCATTAACCCTCCGAGCTGATGTGCCTGACTAACCCCAAGGGCTCTCTGCCAGGAGACTGAGCAAATTTAACAATTTGCCCTCAATTTCCCTCGCACTGAGTCAAAGAGGAAAGGAACCAATTGCCACATCCTGGCTGAACTCGGACCCATTTCACTCCAAGTCCAGCACTGTTTTATTTGCTCCAGTCACCTTCAACTTACATTAATCAGCAGCAGAGTCTCTTCTACTTCTTTCAGCAC